GGCCTTCTAAAGAGCAGTCGGGGTTGATCTCTTCTAGGACTGACCGGTTTGAACGCCTTACAGTCCAAGGGACTCGCAGGAGTCTTCTCCAGCACCATAGTTCAAAGGCCTCAATTCTTTGGCGCTCAGCCTTTCTTATGTCCAACTTTCACAGCCATACATTGCAACTGGGAAAACCATGGCCTGGACTATACGCACTTTTGTTGGCAGGGTGATGTCTCTGCTTTTTAGTATGCTGTCTAGAATTGCCATAGCTTTCCTCCCCAGGAGCAAGCGTCTTTTAATTTCTTGGCTGCAGTCCCCATCTGAGGTGATCTTGGAGCCCAGAAAAATAAAATCTGTCACTACCTCCATTTCTTCCCATCTATTTGCCAGGAATTGAGAGGGCCGGATGCCATGATTTTGATTTTCTTAATGTTGAGTTTCAAGCCAACTTTTGCACTCTCCTTCTTCACCCACATCAAGAGGCTCTTTAGTTCCTCTTCACTTTCTGCCATTAGAGTGGTATCATCTGCATAGCTTAGGTTGTTGATATTTCTCCCGGCAATCTTAATTCCAATTTTTGATTCATCTAGCCCTGCCTTTCTCATGATTTGCTCTGCATATAAGTTAAATAGGCAGGGTGACAGTATACAGCCTTGCCGGACTCCTTTTCCAATTTTGAACCAATCAGTGGTTCCGTGTTCGGTTCTCACTGTTGCTTCTTGACCCGCGTATAGGTTTCTCAAGAGACAAATGAGATGGTCTGGTACTCCCATCTCTTTAAGAACTTGCCACAATTTGTTGTGATCCACACAATCAAAAGCTTTTGCATAGTCAATGAAGTTAATTCTATTTTATTGTAAAGTTACATTAACAAAATCTTCTGTTAATGTCTGGAAGAACAATTCTCCTGCTATCTCCTTTATAGCCCAAGAATAGAGAGAGACCCTCAAGAACCTCTTGCTCCAACCACTATACAGCTGTGGGCTATACTCCCTCTTATCTGATCTTTCCCTGAGCAGTCTTTCTTTGCCAGGTCTCCCAAGGTCATTCCTACATACCATTACACAAACCCAGCTCCCATGATAACAATGAGAAATAGTGACGGGGGTCACCTAATCTCCAGATCCTATGGCTGAGGGGACCTCCAACATCTTCAAGGACTTCTGAAAGAATATCAGCACGAATGATGACCTAGACCAGTGATGGCGAACCTTTTAGAGACCGAGTGCCCCAAAACTGGCCCCACCCCCTGCCCTGCCCCCACCCTGTCTGCCTGCAGGGCCACTCACCACATCCAGGGCCCGCTGCAGATTGCCCAGGCAGCCCAGCAGTGCCATGGTGGCCACGCCCTCTGCCTGCGCCCCCCAGCATCAACTGTGCGGAATGGGGCGTGAGGGCAGAGTCTGCTATGTCCTTGGCTGGCTGCCTGGCTGCCATGTCCCTGGCTGTACTGCTCTGTATGGGCCATGCTCGGGGGCGACTCTCCTCCGGGGGGGCTGCTGGTGAGGGGGTCATGGGGGCAGGCAAGGCTGGGACAATGGTACGTGTGCCCATAGAGAGGGCTCCGAGTGCCACCTCTGGCATGCGTGCCATAGTTTTGCCACCACTGATCTAGATTAGAGCAAGGATCTCCAAACTTGGTAACTTTAAGACTTCAACTCCCAGAATTCCTCCATGGCTGACTGAGGAATTCTGAGAGTTGAAGTCCATAAGTCTTAAAGTCGCCAGGTTTGAAGACCCCTGACCTAGACGGAAGGAAACTGAGACAGCCTGATTCTTGGATCCTGCCTGATCCACAGATCCTGGAGCATTCCCACCCTGTGGCTCTAATGGGGTGGGCAGAAAGAAAGGTGGTCTTATGATCCCATGTCAGGTAGGGCTTCAGAGGTGACAACTGATACCTTGAAATTGTACCTGGAAGTCTACTGAGAACCAGGACAGCACATGGGGCAGTTGCAGTGGTGGGATTCAAATATGTGAACAACCGGTTCTCTGTATGGATGCCATTTCTGGAAGTCCATTCTGGGCCTGGGCAACAAAAAATTAGCTACTGGTTCTGCTGAAGTGGTGCGAACCGGCTGAATCCCACCACTGGGCAGTTGTGTTACTTGAATGTACTGAGGTGTGCCCATAACTGCCTACCCACTCATATAAATATATTTTAAAAATCAGCCAGATTACTGTCAGTACATTACATAGCTTTTGAGAATGAAACTGCAATATGTTCTGTCATTTGCTTTTTGACAATTTGCCACAAAAAAGCACCAACGGGGCAGATTCTGGCTTCTGAGCAGTTGAGAATCCTATTTATATTAGGTAGGGCTGAATTGATGTGGTGTTAAAATGAAGCCCCAATGTTTGCAGATGAAGAAACCAAAGTCTGCTGGAAGTCTAGAGATGTATTTCATTTCCCCAAAGCTACCTGGATTGGAGTTTTTAAAAAACCTTTTTACCTGTTTTCCAATGAATAGGTGCAACCAGGAAACAGATGAATTGAACAAATGATAAATTCTCATTTAAAGGTAAACACCCGTTTTCCCTGGATCAGGTATATTTTCTCCCAGAGCAAATACATTTGGCAGATAAGGAAGAACAATGGTAAATGAGACAAAATTCATTGTTTATCTTTGGGAAAGATTCGAACAATGCATGTCAGAATTGTGCTATGGCACACACTTCCCAAAAGAATGCTACAATCAGAAGAATATTTAAATTTATGTTTATGTTCCTTTTATTGGAATATGATTCATCTCTAGTTTTCCATGTATGCCCTTCAGGCAAAATACAGATAGTCCTCGACTTGAGAACACAACTGAGCCCGAAATTTCCATTACTAAGTGAGACATTTGTAAAGTGGATTCTACCCCATTTTACCATCTTTTTTTTGTTAAATTGTTAAATGAATCGCTGCAGTTATTAAGTTAGTAACCTGGGGTTGTTAAGTGAATCTGGCTTCCCCATTGACTTTACTTGTCAGAAGTTTGCAAAAGATGATCCTACGACCCCAGGACACTGCGACCGTCATAAATATGAGTCGGTTGCCAAGGGTCTGAATTTTGATCATGTGACTATTGCAAGTGTGAAAAATTGGTCATAAAGCACACTTTTTCCGGTGCTGTTGTAACTTTGGTCACTAAACAAATAGTTGTACTTCAAGGATTATTTGTAGACAATAGATTGGCATAAAACGTTTGACAAGCCTCTTAGAGCTGCATTCAGATATTTGGGGGACCATGTCTCTTTGACACAGCTTGGCATTGCTACCTATGTCTCAGATTGGGATGTTTTAATTTGAGGTAGGTCATTTGGCCCGTAAACTAAAAGCCCCTAAATTCTTCAGATTGGCATTAGAACTGGGAAATAGGCACTCTCACACCATCAGTTAGCTTCAGCTGTAAAGATCTTTGTGCATCTTTGTGGAAAGCAATAAATATATGAAGTAAGGTTTAAAGGAGCTGTAGTTGATTGTTGAAGTCATAATTCAGGAACACCATATTTTATGATAGGGTTGGCTTGCTTTTGACTTTAATGATTTAAGGCAGTGGTGGTGAACCTATGGCACTGTGGGCACGCACGCCACCGTTGCCAGCAGCTTGCGCAGGTCCATTAGGCTGCTGCCACTGCCCAGAGCGGCAGCCCCACCGGGCACAAAGGAGGCGAAGCGACCAGCTAGCAAGATCGAGTAGAGGTCGTAGAGCACACCCACACCCAGCAAGCCAAAGGCCACCCTGAGCAAGGAAAGCCGGATCCCCATCGACGCTATGGGCCCCCAGTGCCAGCTAGGATTGCGTGTCTCCCCATCTATGCTGGGCCTCCTGCCCACCGCCCCACCTGCCAGAGACCCCCTGGATCTCCCCCAACCATGGCCGGTCCCTGCAGGTGTCCGCTCCATGAGCAACATCAAGGTGCCCATGCCCACCCCAGCCATGCCCACCCAGTCTGCCGTGACAACTGCAGCCATGCCCACCCAATGGGCCATGCCCCCATGCCCTCCCCTGAGGGCACCACAATGCTGATGCGGCCCTGGCAGTTTGTGATAAATAAGTGGGTTTTGGGTTGCGATTTGGGCACTGGGTCTCTAAAACAGTAGTTCTCAACCTGTGGGTCCATTTCACGGGGGTCACCAAACAACGCAGTCCACCATTTTTTCCCTCTTTTCCTTAGCTGTGCTACTCCCTTTTATTCTGTTGGCTTTTGAAAGCCAATAGGATAGACTCTCTTGAATAGAGTCTAATTCTATTGGCTTTCAAAAGCCAATAGGAATTGTGCAGGCTGTCTCTGCCCTGCTGAGCCCGCCAAAAGTCCCATTCTGCAAACGGTGCTGCACCAGTTGAGTAGTCCTCGACTTACGACCGGTTGAGTAGTCCTCAACTTACGACCGGTTGGGGGTCGCGGCATTAAAAAGGTTGAGAACCACTGCTCTAAAAGGTTTGCCATCACTGATTTAAGGTATTCAGGCAATGGTAGCAACAACCATTTTAAATGGTTTTTAATTGTCTTTATATTTAATGATCAATGCTGCCCACAGTCACTTGCTGATATGGGTGGCTATAAAAATCAGTCAATCAAATAAATTATACTTAATTATGGCTTAGTAAGATGTGTGAATTAGGGTAATCACTTTGGGTAAAACTATTTTTAAAACTCTGATTTCAAGTCCAGCTTGGGTCCCAATGACTGATACAGCCCTATCAATCATTGGCTGTTACCTTCCTCAGATATGTTGTTTTGCCTGCCCAAATTTACATGAGATTTCTTAGTGGTCTCCCTTCCAAGTAATAATAACATCCAACTTTATGTAGCTTTTGGAGATCAGCCAGGATCAGTCAGGTGCTCTCATTTAGGTGAATTTTTCAACTTAAGATAATCTGAAACTAATTTCTGGTGATTTTATTCATACAACTGTGAAGTTTTCTTGGCAACAGAAAGGCTTGCACTGTTTCCCTAGAAGCGAATCAGTCTAGTAAATTATAAGTTCATTGCAGCAGAAGAAAAAAAGAGGAAAAAAACCTATCGGCTCTACTAAAATAGTTTTATTACGATTATAAATTTAAGTTTTGCTCTATATACAATACATATACATTTAATTAGAAAACCATATAGAAATAAAAATCCCTTAGCTGGGAAGATACATCCAAGAGGAAAGAAACTTCACAATTGGAATTTTAGCTGGAAAAGAGAAAGGATAAAAATTCACAATGCTAAGAATCTTGGAGGAATTGATAAAGAACATAGCAAATATTAAAACTAATACAAAAGTAAAAAAAAAGCAATTTTAAAAAAATCCTCCCTCACAACCTGAACTCATCATTAAAATGGGATGGTGCTACTGAGAAATAAACAGCATCAATGAAGGGACAATAAACTGCCCAAGTTTTTCAACACTGAGGACCAGTTTCTGAATATTCAGTATTACATAGAGCAGTGTTTCCCAAACTTGACAATTTTAAGGCATGAGGACTTCAACTCCCAGAATTCCACAGCCAGCAACGCTGGCTGTGGAATTCTGGGAGTTGAAGTCCACATGCCTTAAAATTGTCAAGTTTGGGAAACACTGACATAGAGCAATGCTTCTCAACCTCAACCAGTTAAAGGTATGTGGATTTGGAATTTCCCAGCCAGCATGCTGGGGAATTCCCTATGCTGGCTGAGGAATTCTGGGAGTTGAAGTCCATACATTTTTAATGAAAAACACTGATTCAGAGGGGAGAATGGAATTATTTCAGAAAACCTAAAATTAAGCAAACTCCTAAAACTCAGCCACCTTAGCAACCTGGGTTTGCTCTGTAAATTAAAAGTCAGCTGAATCATATTTCCCACTAGAGCAGAGGTAGGCAACCTTGGCTTTTATGACTCGTGGACTTCAACTCCCAGAATTCCTGAGCCAGCATGGAAACCTCTCCATTTCTCCTCAGCATGTCTGGCTCAGGAATTCTAGGAGTTGAAGTTCATGAGTCATGAAAAAGCCAAGGTTGCCTACCCCTGCACTAAAGCAGAGCTTTTCAACCAGTGGTACGGGTACCACCTGTGGTACATTGGCACCTGGTACGCGACCATCCTAGAAAAGTGGTAGCGGGGGAGGGGAATGAGCTGAACTGGTGGCAGCACTGCACAAGCAAGAGACGGCTGGAGCTGCAGGGCTGTCAGGACTCAGTGGAAGCACCAGCATCAGTGCCGCTTTCCAGCTGATCAGCGCTTCTTCAGGACTGTCAGGGCTCAGCGGAAGCCCCAGGCTCAGCGCCAGGTTCCAGCTGGAGCTCGGCACTGATCCTGGCAGTTCTGCTGAGCCCAGAAGAAGCGCCAATCAGCTGGAATGTTGCAGCCTCTCCAGGGTCTTGTGATTTACATTCAGATGCTTGGCAACTGATTCATATTTATGACGGTCACAATGTCCCAGGGTCATGTGAAGGGACCAAAACCTGCTGCAACCACCCAGCAGACGGAGGGAATAAAAACCAAACACTCCCCCATTCCACCTCCGCTGCCAATCCTCAACAGAAATGCTCACAACAACTTGGACAGGAGGAAGAACGCTGCCAGGTGGGCGGGCAGGTGTCTTCTCGTCTGTGGCTTGGGGGGCACTTTTTTCAGTGCCATTGTAACTTCGAACAGTCCCTAAGCGAACTGTTGTAAGTCGAGGACTACCTGTTACTTTATCACTTTTTTCCTTTTTTTTTTTTGGGGTCATCAAGTTTTTGACACCTTGCTAAGCGACTGGTGGTACTCGGATATTGCCATATCCTAAAAGTGGTACAATGGGTGAAAAGGTTGAAAAGCCCTGCACTAGAGCCTACAATCAAGCACATAGCCATAATTCTCATTTCCACATTCAGAAGGGATGGTGCATCAAAGTGACTTATTGGGCTGCATGTTTGCAAATCCGCCCTCCAAATGTGGACTATCGCATCTCTGTTTTGTTGGCCTTGCCAAGGAGAAAGATGTGATTAGAGCAGAATTGGCTGTCCAGCCTACAATCTCATCCCCCATGTTGCCTATGGGATTATGGGAGCTGTAGTTCCAGAGAAAACCAGATTGGGAGAAGCTCACTGAAAGAAACTGGCCAGTTTTGCAGCCATGAAGGATGCAATGGAAAACCTTTTGCTTTGAAAACACCATGCCATCTCTTCTGGGTTCTCACTAAGTAGAAAAGAGATACCCTCTCCCCACCTGGAACATATTAATAAGCTAAGTTGTCCACCATGCAAAGTTTATTTGTGATTTCAGAGCTTTTATACAGCTTTAAGTTGTATATAGTCCTCAACGTATGACTATTATTGGGACCAGAATATCTGTGGCTAAGCAGGGCAGTTATTAAATGCATGCCAACTGCCAAATGTCTGAATTTTGATCACATGACTGTGGCAATGCTGCAACAGTTATAGGTGTGAGGACTAGCCATAAGTCACTTTTTTCAGGACTGTTTTAACTCTGAACAGTCACTAAACAAATGATTGTAAGTCAAGGATTGTCAGTAATTGTTCTAATAGCATATAGATAGATTCTTAATTGAAAGTCCTTGTTTCCTGATCTGAAGACAGTTGTTAACTTTCAGCCTTGTTTGTTGTAAGACACGTTAACAATTGGGCGAACTGCAGCCCTGCACTCTGAGTATGGTTCAATAGCTGCAACGCCCTTAACCTGGTTACTAAGTAAACCCATTTTCTTGGACAGAACAGGTAATCAAACCATAAGCTAACAGAAGGAAGCCGAATTTGCACAACAGGATAAGATGCAAACAAACTAGCTTAAAACTAAGCAAGTTTCAGGATACTACCAGAACCATTAGATTTGCAACTGACTCGGTGGTTAAAGGTGCTGCATATTCATAGCTAATTTTTGTGTGAACTCAAGAAAAAGGATAAATTGATCCAACCCATGGTTTAGTTAAACAGGGAGAGGGGCACATTGTGCCCTCCACATTTCCAGCTCTGCCATTGCTCAATGTGGAAGGAGAAGCATTTTTAGACAGGATATTTCTTAGTTAATAAGGCAATGTCCTTTTCACATCTGTTGACCCAGTCTCGGAAGAGATGGCAAATGTAATAGCCTGTGAGTTTCATAAGGAAGCTGTTGTCAGATTCCAGAGGCTGAGCGGATACGGCTGGACCCGGCGCGATGTCCAGGGAAGACATGATGGATTTGAGGTTATTCTCCAGACCCAGGCAGCGCAGGCTTGAAGATTCGAACTGACGGTGTAATTCGGTTTCCAATGGATTCAGATCCATTTGCTGGCATTTCACACTGTTTAAGTACACCGGCAAATTGGAGAAGGCCGAGGCATTCTGCTGCAGCCGCTCCTGGTCAGTGAGACCCAGCCAGTCTGTGGTAGACAGGGTTGGCAACGGGACTCCTGGAAAGGGTTGAATGGGTGGGTTGAAATCAGGATCACCAAATGGCATCCCCTGGTGATGCACCTAAACAGAGAGAAGTCAGACCGTCAGTTCTTCGAAAGTTGGATTTTTGGATCTTCAGAAAACGACGGACACCTTCTCGATAGGACTAAGTTACAGATAGTCTTCAATTAAGGACCAGAATTAAGCCCAAATTGTTGTTGCTAAGTGAGACAGTTGTTAAGTAAGTTTTGCCCCATTTGACCACCTTTCTTGCCACAGTTAAGTGAATCCCTGTGGAAGGGATACCCGTCGTCTGAAGCCACCTGGGTGAAATCCAGTGAGGTGAAAGCTGACAGACTCATCAAAAGGTTTCATGCGAAGCACCCCAACAAACCAAGAAATAATCCCTGACCTATGCTTTTATTCACATACAGGACCTATCCTTTTTGTAAGGGGGGCCGGATGTCAATGCTGCTTATATTGAATATTCTTGCTTTGACAAAATATGCAGAACTGTTTGGTATTTTTAGAGTTAATTCAGATGAGACTGAGAGAGGGAGGGAAAAGCGTGTGAATCTTTGCCCTCCAGGTTAATTGGAAGATGTGAATCATGACCCCAAAATAGGAGAGGGGAAATGCCTGGAATGTTATGTGCAAAGGAAGGGAAATTCAGATCTTGGCATCCTCCATGCCGTGCTGACACTCCGTTACACTAATAAAGGCTTTTTAGGTTAAACAATGCCTGAAAGTTCTTTGAAGTGTTTCATTAGTCAGACACATGACACCCTGCATTTGTTAAGTTAGTGATGAGGTTGTTAAATGAATCTGGCATTCCCCCGTCGACTTTGCTCCCCAGAAGGTCGCAAAAGGGGATCACATGACCTGGAGGGATCCTGCAACCACCATAAATATGTGCCAGTTGCCAAGTGTCCGAATTTTATTTACATGACCATGGGGATGCTGCAGTGGTTGTGAAGTGTGAAAAACAGTCATAAAACACTTTCTTTTAGCGCTGTTGATAACTTCAAATGGTCACTAAATGAATGGTTATAAGTCAAGGACTATTTCTATCCATATTACTGGGTAGATGGGGAATGTATGAGTGAATAAGACCATTGCAGTTACTTTTCTCAATTCATTTTATTAGACAGTTTTAGGTCTGGCTGAGATACTAGAATTGGTCTGTGGTCACCCAGTGGGTTTGGGGCTGGGAGTGGGGTGGTTAGGAAATAACCTCTGGTCTATGGACGGGTATTGGACTGCAGCATGCCAGCAACCGGTCCGCACAAACAAGCAAAGCCCCATCTGTGGGATGCAGGAAGCACATAAAACCACACACTCTCCGGTCCATGAAAAAATCTTTCTCCACGGAACCGGTCCTTGGTGCCCAAAAGGTTGAGGACCTCTGCCATACATTATACATCTTTATCTGAGATTCTGAAAAACCGAGAATTATTAACAAGTTGTTTCTGTGCACTTGCTACGGTACAACAGTTTTTACACATTTGTTCTGAGAAAAATACCAAGGTCCTTCATTCAGGAAATTCAAATCATTATCAATTTGCATAGGCCAAAGTCCACTCTTCTGTTCTACTTTGGAAGCATTGTAAATTAAATAAAACACATTTCCCCCATTGTGGACAGAGGCCCATACCCTCCATTAATTTGTTCCACTTATATTCAGGACTCACATAGCTTGACAGCAGTTGTCCTGAGCTGAATTGCATGCTGAGGGCGAGATTATGCGTCCTTTCAATCTTTACAGCGATTTCTTGCTGGGTGCGAGAACATCCGGAGGACATCGGCAAATCCACTGCAGACAGAATCGAGAGGAACATTAGGCCCAAGAACTAGTAACTATCAATCAATCAGAATAGAGCTGGAAGGGACCTTGGAGGTCTTCTAGTCCACCCCCCTACTCAAGCAGGAGACCCTATACCAGTGATGGCGAACCTTTTAGAGACCGAGTGCCCAAACTGAAACCCAAAACCACTTATGTATCGTTGGGTGCCAGGTGGGCATAGCCCATTGGGTGGGTGTAGCCCATTGGCTGGGTGTGGCTACAGTGGTAACGGCAGACTGGGTGGGACTAAAAAGTTCAATCAATCAATTCCAACTTTGCGAGATCTTTTTTTTCCCACGAGAAGCTGAAATTGATTGATTGATTGAACCTTTTTTTTCCCCCACACAGCGATGGAGGACTAAAGCAGCGGTTCTCAACCTATGGGTCGTGACCCCATTTGGGGTTGAACGACCATTTTACGGGGGTCGCCAAACAACGCGATCCGCCATTTTTCCCCCTCAGGGGCCGCCGCTGCACATGTGCGCCGCGCATGGGGGCGCTGCCGCACATGCGCGGCGCGTCCATGTGACGGGGTCGCCGTCACACAAAGGTTGAGAACCGCTGGACTAAAGCGAAAAGGTTTTATAAAACCCAGCTGAAGGCCTAGGACTGGGGCACCGGCGCGTGTGCCCAGATAGAGGGCTCTGCGTGCCATCTGTGGCATCCGTGCCATAGGTTCGCCACCACGGCCCTATACCATTTCAGACAAGTGGCTGCCCAGTCTCTTCTTAAAAACCTCTAAACATTCAAATACCTGTATCAATAATACCATGCATGTTATCCTGCTTTTTGCAGGCCACAGAACCTAGAAGACATCCGGGTGGGTGGACAGAGTTAAGAGACAGAAAAAAGGAAACCAATTCATTGTAAAGAATAACTCAAATTCTAGGGTACAGCATCAGAAGTGAGCAAGGATGAAAAATACTACACAGCAGGGTTTCTCAAGCTGAGCAGTTCTAAGATGTATGGACTTCGAATTCCAGCAGGCTGGCTGGGGAATTCTGGGAGTTAAAGTCCAGACATAACTAAAGTTGGCAAGGTTGAGAAACACTTCTATGCCGCACAGGTAGTCCTCGACTTACAACAGTTCATTTAGTTCATGTAGTGTTACAACAGCACTTTAAAAAGGACTGTTTTTCACACTTACAACCTTTGCAACGTCCCATAGTCAAGTGATCAGAATTCAGGTGCTTGGCAATTGACTCATATTTATGACAGTTGCCATGTCCTGGGGTCATATGATCACCTTTTGCGACCTTCTGACAAGCAAAGCCAATGGGGCAACCGTGTTACTAACAACTTGACAATGGTGGCACGAAAGGCCATAAAGTGGGGCAAAACTCACTTAACCAATGTTTCACTTAGCAAACAAAAATGTTGGGCTCAATTGTGGGCGTAAGTCAAGGACTACCTGTATCTACCTATAATATCAATGGTATCCTGTCCTATCCTATTTTTGGGTGTTTCAGAAACAGGTGGATACCTGCTATTTACAGTTCAAAACGAACTTACAATCCCACACTTAGTAAAGGGAAGACAAAAAGGATAGCAATACTGAAGATGCCAGAAATTAGCCCGAGGTCCAAAGGATTTTCCAGAGATAGCATAGGGCAGTGGTGGCGAACCTATGGCGCGGGTGCCAGAGGCGGCACTCACTCTGTGGGCACGCACGCCGTCACCCTGGTCCTAGGCCTTCAGCTGGGTTTTATAAAACCTTTTCGCTTTAGGCCTCCGTCGCCATGTACAAAAAAAAAAAAAAAGGTTCAATCAATCAGTCAATTTCAACTTCTCATGGGAAAAAAAAGATCTTACAAAATTGGAATTGATTGATTGAACTTTTTAGTCCCACCCAGTCTGCTGTTACCACCGCAGCCACGCCCAGAAAATGGGCCACACCCAGCCAATGGGCCACACCCACCTGGCACCTGACGATGCATAAGTGGGTTTTGGGTTGCAGTTTGGGCACTTGGTCTCTACAAGGTTCGCCATCACTGACATATGGAATTGTAAAGTGATGAAGTAATGCTGAAGTTGCCAGTCCCAAAAATCAGGGAGGCAGATCTCTTGAGAATCGCAGCTCTCATTAAATAAAGATCTTTGTCACCTGTTTAGCATACATGTTCTCTGGGCAGCATTTAATGCTGTAAAATGTAGCCAAGTAGAAAAGTCCTGGCCTTTTGCATGGCTGTGTTTTTTTTTTAAAAAAAAAAAAACTCTAAAAGCTTTTTTTTTCTTCTTTTCTTTTTAAGGATTTGTTATTTTGTGCCACACAGATGTAGCTGGAGTTCCTGGCCTGTAAACTCTTTCAAACAGAGACTTTTGTTCTTTTCTGGTTTGCAATGTACTCTCCTTCCCGTGACCTGCGTGCGTCTTGGACACACCTGTAGATTTCAGCACATTTATTTTTCTTTTTAACTTTTCTATCTGTGTTCAAGGAAAGGACTTTGAAACTGCAGGGCTTATTAGAAGGACCAGGAATGATTGTCAAAGCATGTTGAAGTTTCTGACACTTGCTAACTACAGAAAGGAGGAAACTCTTCCACCGACTCCCGGATATCCTACAACTGCTATCATCTGGTCCAGAAGCCTCTAAAATAGCACAGAGGAGGAACCTGTTGATGGCATGTTGAGGACCACCCTTTGAATGCAGGCAAGAAACAAAATCTCATCTAATTCCATCATTTTGTGTGCAAAACAGGAAAAACTCTGAAGCTTGGCTATGAAGTTTCACCTTTTTCTTTAATCTCTCGGTGGAAAAACAGAAGGGGTCGAAAGAGTATCACACAGTTCCCATTAATGCATGGCCACTGGCTATTCTTGGGTCTTAAATGGATGGACAAGAACAGGCTATTCTCCAAAGCACCTGAAGGCAGGACAAGAAGCAACGGATGGAAACTAATCAAAGAGAGAGGCAACCTAGAACTAAGGAGAAACTTCCTGGCAGTTAGAACAATTAACCAGTGGAACAACCTGCCTCCAGAAGCAGTAAATGCTCCAACACTGGAAGTTTTTAAGAAGAGATTGGACAGCCATTTGTCCAAAATGGTATAGGGCAGTGTTTCTCAACCTTGACAATTTTAAGGCATGTGGACTTCAACTCCCAGAATTCCACAGCCAGTAATGCTGGCTGTGGAATTCTGGGAGTTGAAGTCCACATGCCTTAAAATTGTCAAGGTTGAGAAACACTGGTATAGGGTTTCCTGCCTGAGCAGGGGGCTGGACTAGATGACCTCTAGGATCCCTTTCAACTTGATGATGATGATGATGCAGTTTTTCAGGCTAACTCTGGCCATAGAAATTTGATCCTGATTGGCTCAAAATTGACTCATCTTTCCATCCTTCCAGGTATAGGGTTACCTGCCTGAGCAGAGGGTTGGATTTGATGACCTCCAAGATCCCTTCCAACTTTACTACTACTACTACTACTACTACTACTACTACTACTACTACTACTACTACTATTAATTGTTCCAGACAGCAAGGCCATTACATATTTGGAGGACCCAGTTGGAAAAAGCTGATGTGTTCAACAGCAAAAAGACTCTAAGTCAGAGGCCCCCAACCCTTTGGGCACCAAGAACCGGTTCCATGGACAGGGGTTTTTCCACGGACTGGAGAGTGCGTGGTTTTGTGTGCTGCCTGCATCCCGCAGATGGGGCTTTGCTTGTTTGTGTGGACCGGTTGCTGGCATGCTGTGGCCCAGTACCAGTTGGGGACTCCTGCTCTTAAGTCACTCACAGAGATAATTTATATAGAAATTCTTTTATCTAACAAAGGCAAAATTGTGCCAAGCCTCTAATCCTTCCTAGAATGTCTCCCTTTTAAGTTTATTCAATTAGATTGCCAATTTCAAGGCAGCCTGATGCAGTTTGGGAAGATCGTGGGTTACTGATGGCAACTTCAAAGCAGCAGGAACCCGGCGGCAACTTTTCAGATTAACATGTTTTATTAAGGTCATAAGTTTTTGTGAGCTACTGGTCTTTTCATCAGCTGTATGTGTTTTTCCTAGTTACCTGGGGGGAGATATTTGTGGAACTGAATGGTACTATATAACTTTATCTGATTAAAAATAAACTTTTTTTTGCCTATTCTGTCTACTGTAATCCTTTCCTATGGGCTCTGCCTTCCCTCTTAGAAGAAGACACCCCTCAGATCAGTGTTTCTCAACCCTGACAGCTTTAAGATGAGTGGACTTCAGCTCCCAGAATTCCCCATCCAGTCTTGCTGTGGCTGGGAATTCTGGGAGTTGAGGTCCACCAATCTTAAAACCGACAAGGTTGAGGAACATTGTCTGACTCTAAGACAACCAAGAGTTAGGATTGCAGCTACCAGAATTCCTATCTGGTGTGGAATTCTGGGAATTATAGGGCCAGTAAATTTGGAAAGTGCCTGATTGAAGAAAACTGAGACTGGGATGAAGAGTGAGTAAAAAAAGAGGATGTTTGCTAAAGGTTTCAAACTAGGATAGAGAAGAAAGATCTACCGCAGGGGTAGTCAACCTTGGCTCTTTTATGACTCGTGGACTTCAACTCCCAGAATTCCTGAGCCAGCTAAGCTGGCTCAGGAATTCTGGGAGTTGAAGTCCACGAGTCATAAAAGAGCCAAGGTTGACTACCCCTGATCTACCGTATCAATAGCTTCTAACTATAACTAAGTGGATCTTCTATATTCAAGAGCAGTATACAAGATTCTGGGAACCAAGCAACACAAGCGTCCCTCTGTGGTAAATTATCTGGCTGGCAAACTGCATGAAGACATAGAAAATAAGACCCAGGAGTTACATTTGATTGGATGAAGGAGAAACCTACCCTTCCTCAATTTGTCTGCTCTTTTATCTGGAAATACCAAATATTCTCCCTGGCCATTCTAAATGCAAATTGTACATTCCTGTGCCAGGCATTCTAACTGCCAAGCGGTAAATGTCTTTTAAAATTACCCTCCAAGATCAATGATTAACTTCAACTTCAAGTTCAAGGTGTGAGGTCATCAGTCTTTACATCTGTTGTTCTTTGGGATGGGGGGAGGTGCCGGAGGCAGAAAGCAAGAATGAAGAGAACGGAACATTCCAGAGGTTTTACAACGAAGGAAATAATCTGGACAGAGGACATGAACAACCAAAAGGGGGTGGGCAAAATATATGTGCTTAATATGCAAGGTCCAAAACAATCAAGGAGGCGGAGTCCAAGCTTTCTCCACATTAAATATGTTGGCCCAAGACTCCCATCAACCTCAGTTGGCTTTGGACACACTGACCAAATGTTGTGCGGGTGCAGTTCAGTACTAGTCAGAGGCAACATGTTAGGACAGTGGTTCTCAACCTTTTTAATGCCGTGACCCCCAACCGGTCGTAAATCGAGGACTACTCAACCGGTCGTAAGTCGAGGACTACTCAACCGGTCGTAAGTCGAGGACTACTCAACCGGTCGTAAGTCGAGGACTACTCAACTGGTGCAGCACCGTTTGCAGAATGGGACTTTTGGCGGGCTCAGCAGGGCAGAGACAGCCTGGACAATTCCTATTGGCTTTTGAAAGCCAATAGAATTAGACTCTATTCAAGAGAGTCTATTCTATTGGCTTTCAAAAGCCAATAGAATAAAAGGGAGTAGCACAGCTAAGGAAAAGGGGAAAAAAATGGCGGACTGCGTTGTTTGGCGACCCCCGTGAAATGGTCGTTCGACCCCAAATGGGGTCCCGACCCACAGGTTGAGAACCACTGTGTTAGGAAAACACTGCTGTTGAGGGAGAAGGGTTTTCAAAGGCTGAGCTTATACAATCTATCTTGGTTTTGGTTGTGTGAATCAGGCAATGGGAGTTAACTGATCGTCTGTCATGTGAATCCCTACAAGTTGGGCTCATTCAATCTTTATGCACTCAACTGCTCCTCTTGAAACCTGAAACTGCGCTGCTAGTCCATGTACAAAAGTCTAGTGGAAGAAACCACAGAAACACTTCCTCCATCTACCTTCTTAAACCATGGTTTACTTCACAGGTCTTCCTGAATCAACTACAACCAATTGGGTTTGGGCTACACAAGAAACATAAATCCGAATTTACAGAAGCCCGTGTCACAAACAAGCAAACATTGGGATCTATGATGTTGGATGTATCTAACTGATTATAATTATTTCTCATTTCAGTGATGCTACACTATTAAAGTTCAGAATTCTTGGGAGATTGCAAGATTCCATGAATGATGCAAAATTCATCATTATCAAAAAGAGTTTTATTTGCAGAGGGAGGTTTTTTTTAAAAAAGCTATAGGTTATAAAGTTTTTCAGCAACAGTGCTAAGAGTTGAATGCCAAAGTTAGCTAACATTAAACTTTCACTACAGCTGGGAAACTGAGGTAATAGTCCCCCTAAGGCAGTGTTTCCCAAACTTGACAATTTTAAGGCATGAGGACTTCAACTCCCAGAATTCCTCAGCCAGCAACGCTGGCTGTGGAATTCTGGGAGTTGAAGTCCACATGCCTTAAAATTGTCAAGTTTGGGAAACACTGCCCTAAGGTAGTCCAGTAATAATCATGATGTTAGGGGGCAAATTTCTACTTGAAACTTTTGTTATATTGATCTGCTTTACATCTGCAAATAAACATTTGCTCATAATTAACAAAATGTTAAACACAAATTCAACAAAAGGCTTGGCAGCTTGGTAATGTGTGTGAACGCAGCCATGGCATTACATGAGCTCTTCTGAATGATGCATGCAGAGGATAAATATGATGATCTTACATTCATGAAATACATTTGACCAAAAAAGCAGCTTGGCCATCTTCCTGCAAGCACTTGTGTCTCATTGACCTGGATTCATCCCACCAGCAAAAGATCATTTACAACAGCCATAATCCTTAACGGTATTTGGAGCTTTGCTATTTTCAAGAAGTGACTGCATGCACTAACCGTGCTGCAGGAAAGGCAGTGGTTCAACCGGTAAAGTCCCTCCCTCGGGCTTCCTAAATAACTTCAGAGAATCCAAAGCACAGGTCTCTGTCTTTTACAAAAAGCAACTGTAAAAAACCCACAGAAAGTTGGTAATTCTTGTCAAACACGGTATAAGGAAGGAAGGAAGGAAAGAAGGAGGAAGGAAGGAAGGAAGGAGGGAAGGAAAAAAACAGGTCTTGGAAAAACGCTCCATTCCTACGACTTTGTAAAGAGAAATATCGTGGCTGGCTATTTGGCCATGCAAAACCAGGCTGTGTGGCTTTGTTGACAGTCCAATACAGTAAGTAAAAAATGCAAGCAATTGGATCAATTGGGAACGCACGCTTCACTTAAGCACCAGTCATCCGGGTCGTGTGAACCCGGCCACCGAGCTGCCAGAAGGGTCCAATGCAGCCTCCAGTCATTCATCCCAAGAATCGCCTTTTCGGTGAGATGGGTGGGCATATTCGATCCATCAATCTAATCAATCAATCAATCTCGTTGGCTTTTCCCTTCAGCTTGCCAGACGAACAGGGAACGAAAGCGGCCGACTGGGGGAAAAGTTCGCTCGAGAAGGACCCGGCTGCCGCCCACCTCCGCTGCTTCCCCAGCCCGCTCCGCCGCTTTCAGCAAGCTTCGCTCCCTGGCACCCCGATTCGACCTTCGCGGCGCAACCTGAGCCTCTGGGATCGCGCCAAAGCCGGCGTTTGTGGCAGTGCGATGGGACACGCGCGATGCCTCCCCCTCGGGGAGTTTATTTCACCGTGGCTTATTTTCTCTCGATCAGCCAGCCTTAGGCGAGCTTGCCACCGCCGCTGGGCACGAGACGGCAGCGTTCCAGAACCGCGAACGGCGGCGGATAACACGCGAAATCGTTTCGAGCCCCTTTGAACCGAACCTCCCCCGTCCCTCTTCGCGGGTGGTGGTGGGGGGGGAGAGAGACACCTGCAGACTCCGAGGAAAACTTTGGGAAAGCACGTGCTGTGCTTCACCTCGCTCGCCCCCCCCTTCCCCGGTTCCCCCCCCCCCACTTTGGCTGACTTCGCCGTACCTGACAGCACTTCCATCCTGCGACCCTCCCCGGCGCCTCTTCCCGCCACTCGTTGCCCGCCCCCTTCCTCGCCGGACCTTTTATAGCGGCTGGCCACGCCCCCTGTCCTCGCGCCGGCCCGGGATGGAGGATTGCAACAGGCTGAGATCACCTACAGCCCGCCTCCTGCTTGGGACCGAAGTCTGCACCGGCGGCTTCCCTTTCGTCTCTCTCTCTCTCTCTCTCTCTCTCTCTCTCTCTCTGCCCCCCCCGCCCCCGCCCCCCTCCGCTGGTTTGGGCAGGAATGGGCGGCTTGCTTAACCAGTGGAGAAAAAGGACACCTTGGATGGATCAAGGAAGAAAGGGGGTGGCGGGTGGGGCAGCTTCTTTTCCTCCCCAGGAGAGAAAGGAAACAATAGTTCGTTTTATGGAGTTGTTAAAAATTGAACACACATTCCCCCCCCCCATTCCCCGCCTCCCCCAATAGTCGAAGTTCTCTGGGTGGTTTCCAGTAATACAAAAAACTGAGAAAATAGTACAGGATGGACTAGAATAAAAAAACCCGCATAAACTAGAAAGCCGCGGGGCGTTCCTTGAAAAACTGGAAAAGATATAAATAAAAGCCCATAGAAAAGCCTGAGGGAAATACAGAAAGGTCTTTGCAAGGTGGTGAAATGATGCCTGAGGCCTTTCTGAGGAGAAGGCGTTCCCCTCATGGGATGCCACTCCAGAAAAAACCCTGGGAGACTCCAAAATTATGGAACTACAAGGAAGGGACTCTATTGTCTTTAGTGAAAGGAAAATGGCTCTGGATTGAAAATAATTTAAAAAGTGAGGAGGAGGAGGAAGAAGAAGAAGGAGGAGGAGAAGAAGAGGAAGAAGAAGAAGAAGAAGAAGAAGAAGAAGAAGAAGAAGAAGAAGAAGAAGAAGAAGAAGAAGAAGAAGAAGAAGAAGAAGAAGAAGAAGAAGAAGTAGTTACTATATTCTTGCAAAATTAAGACAACAAATGTACTTTATCTATTTCTTCAGAGGGAAAAAAGTCTTTTAGGTAAATTTAATTGTTCTGGGTTGGGGGAAACAAAAAAGAAAGGTGGTAATATATTTTTGTATCTTCTATAGTACACTTTTATCTGTTTTCCCAAGGCTAAAAATAGAAACGGAAACTGCAGGGGAAAAAAAAAGATAAGCTGGGTGGTTCAAACTTGGATGGGAAAACACCAAGAAGTCATGGGACACCGGGAAGTCATAAAAAAAAAAAATCTTGCGCAGAACATTATCTAAATGTCTATGTTGTCACTTTAACTGAACTCAGAGTTGATAATAAATATAATAAAACTATCTTTTTATACTGTACTCACATCCTGCTTTTCATCCACATTGCTAAAGGGATGGGGCAGATGAATCACAATATGAAAAAAAGATAAAAACTGCAAATCTTAATAACTCTTCAGTAAGTTACCGTAAAGGGAAAAGGGACCACAAAAAGCCATTTCAAGGTTTTAAAAAACACGTTTTAATGGCAGGAGGTTTTCCTAGATTGCAGCTCATTTCATCCGGATGCAGGAATGTAGAATTTTATGCCCCAATAAATTCGAAATCCTTTGAAATGCCACGTGGTTTACCTGTCATGCCAAGCCCTGCTTTAGTCATGCCAAATTGCATTAAATTGGGTTTCACATAGCAAACTAGGCAAAGCCAAAATAAATAAATCATGCCTTACTCCTGGTGTCATCCACGAATCTGTTCAATGATGGAGTTTGAGCCTAGCCATCATGGTCGTCCCACAGTTCTCTCATAGTATAATAGACCGTGTTTCTCAACCTGGGCAACCTGACGATGTGTGGACTTCAACTCCTAGAATTCCTCCCGGCTGGAGAATAATGGGAGTTGAAGTCCACATACAGTATTTTCAAATTGCCATGGGTGAGAAACACTGGTATAGACACTTAAATAAGAGCTACAAAAGTTACACTATGTAAAAGAGCAGGTAGACCAGTGGTTCTCAACCTGTGGGTCGGGACCCCATTTGGGGTGGAACGACCATTTCATGGGGGTCGCCAAACAACGCAGTCTGCCATTTTTTTTCCCTTTTCCTTAGCTGTGCTACTCACTTTTATTCTATTGGCTTTTGAAAGCCAATAGAATAGACTCTCTTGAATAGAGTCTAATTCTATTGGCTTTCAAAAGCCAATAGGAATTGTCCAGGCTGTCTCTGCCCTACTGAGCCCGCCAAAAGTCCCATTCTGCAAACGGTGCTGCACCAGTTGAGTAGTCCTTGATTTACAACCGGTTGAGTAGTCCTCGACTTATGACCGGTTGGGGGTCGCGGCATTAAAAAGGTTGAGAACCACTGAGGTAGACTGACCCAAGGAGAACAGTTCTAAGAAATGAATTCTTTAATTTAATTTTAATTTAATTTAATTGCATTAAAATGTGAAGAATTCAGCCATCTGCTGGGCAGCACTTCAGATTTGAGAGTTGAAATGTGCATTTGGGGGCCATGGGGGCATGGAGGGAACTCACCCATCTGCCAGTCCTTGTGTTCCTTCCCTTGGGCAACTGTTCACCAGCCAAAGTCCATTGGAGTTGGACTATATCATAAGTACAAGCAAATAAATAAACAAATGCATAAATCTGGGGCTGCCTTAAGGAGCTGAAGACGGGCAGGTCAACATGGAAACCTCTCTTGCCTCTGAATCTTTAGCTGATTGGTTTCTGTTGAAACATCATTTGGAAGTTCAGAACTTAACTTTGCCCCAACACAATTTCAGATCAGCCTTTCAAGAGACGGTCTCTTAACAACGCATTGGAATCTCTTGGCCAGATAACAGGTCTGGCTATTTTGCACTGGTAGCAGGAGTGATGGTACTTTAGAAGAAGATTAAGGACGCCAGCCAAAATACATGCTTGGAACATTTGTATGCTCCAAATCCTGGATAATCCCAGGCATTCCTCTTCGGGACCCAGATCAATCTCAGTGGGGCTTCAGGCCTGAATCTAAAGCTGCCTATGGTCACCCAACAAGAAGGGAACACATCCTGTGGATTCCCTTGGCAGCACTTTTGATCTCATTGTCCAGGGAAACTTCTAAATCCTGTTTCTCTGTTGTTTCCAAGAGACTATCCGGGTGCCCATATTCTAAATTAAGTTTGAATGGCCTGAAGCAGTTAACTGGAGATTGTTATGTCCCGAGCCTTGCAAACGGCTCGGGTGTTTGCAGGCAGTCCCGGGCAGGTGCAAAGCTGCCCGGGACCAGACAGGCTGTCGCCAGCGCCGTGCGCATGCGCGGGTGCTGGCGCGGGAAAAGTAACCCTTTTACCCGGGAGTTGCCTATATAAGAGGCTGCGAGGCGTTTGGGCGAGGCTGAAGCCATCTTCCTGTAAGCTGAACGCTGAATAAATGAAACTGAGAACTCCAGCTGCTTCTCGTGTCTGTTTTCCCGCCACGGACTCAACACTGGCGACGAGGATGGGATGCCTTGCACTACCTGGAAAGGAAGAAGTGTAAGCTTACCCAAGGAGTCCTGAGCGGCGAAAGAGGAACGGCGTCGACTCGGCAGCTGCCCGCCAATCCGGTGCGCATTCGGGGGTAGGCTGGCTGATAGACCCGTCTCCTGAAGATCCGAAGATGGCGAAAATCGGAAGGCTTTCGGAATTCGACGTCTCACATCCAGAGCGGTGGGAGTCCTACGTATCCAGAATGGAGAACTACTTCAAGGCAAACCAAGTGAGGGAAGATAGCTTGAAGGCGGCCACCCTGCTTTGCGTTTGCGGCCAAGACGCCTTCGAAATCGCAGAAAATCTTGCAGCACCTGTCCCAGTAGAGTCTGTAAGCTACGCAGACCTGAAGAAGCTGCTGAAGGAGCATTTCCATCCCAAGGTGTCCGTTATCTCATGGCGCCACACCTTCGAACAAAGGGATCAACGGTCCGGTGAGTCAGCCAAGGAATACATCGCCGCGTTACGGAAGGCCGCCAAGCCCTGCGAGTTCAAGGACCTCGAGGAACGACTGAGGGACCGATTCGTGTGCGGGTTAAGGCATCGCGAGCTACAACAGAGACTTTTCGCAAAGGAAGAATTATCCTTCCAAGACGCCTTAAGGGAAGTCACCGCAGAAGAAGCAGCAGGCGGCGCCATCAAAAACATGCGGCCGATCAGAAACAGTGCAGAGGGTGCGTCCGTGCACCAGGAAGACGTCCGACGAAACTCCGAGGAGGATCCGGACGAGGAAGTCGACCGTCTACACCCCGCGAAGGAAGAGAACCAGAAGGGAAGCTCTTCGGCTCCGCTCAAGTGCATCGGCTGTGGAGGTCGCCACAGGAGAACCGACTGCAAGTTCCGCTCCGCTACCTGCCGGGCATGCGGTAAACAAGGGCACATTGCAGCTGTGTGCCTGGGCCGACGAAAGGCACAACCCCAAGAAGAACGCCTGAAGGGTACCAGATTCCCCAGCCAGAATAGGGTAGGTTTTTGCGCTTCGCGAAGAAGCATCTGTAGAACAGGCACACACAAGCCCATGAAGAAAAAGCTGTCACTCAACGTGAAGCTACAAGGGGTTCCATTATCTATGGAACTAGACACAGGGTCTGCCCTGTCCATCATTTCATTGCATACATTTAGGAAGATTTGTTCCAGAGTGGGTCTAAGGCCAAGTTAAGGCCTTCTGATATTGTATTAACAGATTTTCAGAACTCAAGAGTGTGTGTTAAGGGGGAGGCCACCCTTAACGTGCAATACAAGAGTTTTGAAGGTCCACTAGACTTATTAGTAGTAGGGGGTGAACGAACGAGTCTCATAGGACTCGATTGGTTTGAGGCCCTGGGGATACACGTCACAGGACTCAATAGCTTACAAACACTCGACCTACAGGAAGTCTGCACAGAATTTGCAGATGTTTTCAGCCCCCAGCTGGGCACATTCAAAGGACCACCTGTGTCCTTAAAGCTAGACCCCACTGTCACTCCCATTAGGATTAAAGCAAGAAGGGTCCCTTTTGCTTTAAAAAGTAAGATTGACACTGAACTAGACAAACTAATCCAACAGGGAATCCTAGAACCTGTTGA